TGGAGCACCGTCGGTGTTGGACACTCTGGTAGTTGGTTTCACCTGTCACTTGCTTTGAGCAACGGGGGGCATGGGGGATTTTTTCCCGACAGGCTGCACGGAAGGATTGTTTGTCCTTGTGGTTATGCTCTGTCGGATGTCATGGTCTGCTTGCCCCAAATAAAGCGCCTTGGTCGTTGGCGACCTCTCCCTGAGTGCCTGACCAATGTTTGGCACACTTGCCAGACAGCCCCCCCCTCCTCCCCCCAAGCCCCCTCAACGCCCCCCCTTAACCCCCGCCCCACACACACAATTCTCCCAGCCTTGCTTCTCGCGCTGTCAGGATGACCGGAATGGGTACTTCTGGTTTCCCACCTTCAAACGGGCCAGCGCCCCAGCCATGCGCACCAACGGATTTTCGACCAACGGAAACGGAACCAGCACATCCGAAGAGGTAAACGCTGCGAAAGGAGTATGTGAGGGTTGGGACAGCGAGGTTTGCCAACGAAAGCTAGTGCTTGAATTGAGATTGAAAGCACATCCTGGACGATGTTTTCTCAACCTGGGCATTTACACATGTTGCCATGTCTTTCTCAAGTTTCTCTTTAAAGTAACCCGTGTGCATCCTTCTCGGCTCGCGAGACTTTGTTTCGTCCGCGGCTTGTGCTTCTGGCTCCTTGCCTCGTTTTGGGACCCAGGCCGGACCCCGAAAAAGGATTCACGCCTTCCGTTGGCTCCTCTCATGCTTTCGGCCCCCTTTCTTCGCGGCTCTACCCAACGAATGCATGGCGACAATCAAGCGCGCAGGCCCGAAAGGTCGGATTCTTTGGTGCGGGTCTCGAGGATGTGCTCAACATGAAGCGCACAGCAAAGTGAAGGAACCTCGTAGCCTCATTTCCTGAGTTCCTGCACTTCAACCTCTGTTGGAAGACCATATGAGTGGTAAACAGAAAGTTCGGAGTTGTTTTTGCTAATTCACTGAGGAAGTGAGTCAACATTTTTTTTTCGTGGGCCACACCTGGCACACAATAAATTTTGTGCCTGGCTTAGCAAACACCTAACCGCACATCTTGGGGGCTGGCAGCAGCTTGTTTTGGGGGCACGGGGCGTTTTGAAAAACGAATCCTTAGGCCAACGCGCTGCAGTACATTGCCTTGTGCGAGTCCGCGGGTTCTGCGGTGCGGCTCCCGGACGGTTCTTTCGCGCGCTTTCGCGGCACGGACACCACGTTTTTCTATGGGCTAGGTCCCCCCAGTCGTGCCCTTGTACCAACTTTTTTGGGGGAGGGCTCCTCCAACTTTTTTGGGGGAGGGCTCCCCTACTAAAGTAGACTACAGAAAAAACATAGTACCCTTATTCATCCTTATTCTAACCTCTCAAATCTGGAGGACCTAGTGGGGCCACCATGTCTTTGCTTCAGGGACTCGAAGATGGGGCATTTGTGGGGCCAGGGTTCATTTTTATTATTATTATTATTATTATTATTATTATTATTATTATTATTATTATTATTATTATTATTATTATTATTATTATTCTTATTTGTTCACTTTTGTTTTTGAAAACATGTTATTGTTATATATATATATATATGTATATTATTTTATTTTATCCTTTGGAGCGGAGTGCCTTTTTGGAAGCTCCAGCGTTGCCAGAGCCTTCGCACCCGGAAGCCATTCACAGCGCAGATGCACGGTTGCTTGGGCTTGCCAAGTCGACTTGCCATTTGGCTGTGGGTCAAAACCAATGGGATCCCATTTTGGGGTAGGTGAATTCACCACCCATTTTGGTCAATTTGAGTGGGGATTGGGATGTTCACTGGGGTACGAGATTTTGACCCATGGCCATTTGTGCGCCAACGAGATACCAAGCAGAGAAGTATGACGAAGGCAACCTGAAATTTGGGGTTAGATGCAGCCAAACGTTTCTCTGATCAAAGGAAATCTCACAGCGCAAAGCAGGGATCTAGCCTTGGCGGCTCGGTCGATTTTTAGGAGATCAGAAAACGAACAGCCCAGCTTCATGGGATCCTTTCGAACATTCTCAGGGTAGCCTTCGGCGTTCACTTGAAGCTCCGCTTGACGTGTGCGGACGCATTTGGCCCGTTGGTCCAGCGGGTTTCAGAGATATTGTTTGCATTTTGCAACTCCAAAAGTGGATAACGTTTCAATGCAGGGTTGTGGAATCAAGGGGTTTATTCCCACTTCTGTGATACAAGGGAATCTGCCCCTGCATATATGGGGTCTTAGTCTTTGGGAAGCCCTTTTTCTTGTATCACAGACAGAAGTGGTCATTTCCCACAGCCCTGCTTCAATGGAAACTACCAGAGAATTGATCAACTTTTGATTCAGGGCAAATTTGTTTCCTCTGGTGCGCAGGATGGATCGCCTGAGCGAAAGGTGGTGTGGTTACGGCTTTTCGCTCATGCATGTTGACCCTGGTGCGTTGTCGAGCCATAGCTGGTCTTTGGTGTAGTCTTTGGTTTTGGTGCAGCCTTACTCCCTTTCATACATGTTTTGGACATTATGGGACCTGAAACAGGCAAAAGGTCGCTTGTTTGCGACAAACATGGAAGCCGATAGGAAGGCGGACAAACCGCTTGATTCTTTTTTCTCGGAAACTGCCAGTTCACTTCCATGATTGTCGGAAGGAGGTTAGATGCTTTGCGCCAGGAACTCGAACTCAGGAGTCTGAAAAACCAATCCTTCATCTTCCGTGTAGGGTCGAGTTGAAGCTTCTTCAGGCGCAAGGCACCTGAAAGGTGCCACGTAAATCGCGCCTTCGGTGGCCACCAGATACGACAAGATAATTGGAAAGGAGGCTTTTGGCATCAGAGTAGTCCAAACCTTGATCAGTCCCATGGCCTGCGTGATGCATGTTGTCAAGGTCAAAGGGTGGTTCACCAGAATGGTTTCCAGGATGTCAGAGTCGCCATGCATTTTCTAGTAGGGCCGGGCGAGGTCAAGATCTTGTAAGTTGTCCTGCAATCCTGCCTCCTGTGTCCTGAACGGCGACTCAATCAGACAGCTGAGCATGCCTTTTGTGCTTCCACCGTTCCACCGTCCATGCAAAGAATCAGCCACACGGGTTGGGTGATTTCCCCGGGGCGCTTGGTTTGTGCTCGTTGTTTTGGTTTTAAACAAACCCACGTGTTGTTTTTTCTGGCTGCCGGTTTTTTCCATGCTGGCGATGAGGTTCTGGAGGTGCTCATCATTTTTCATGGCCTGGAGCAATGGCCACTTGGCGCCAAAGACGGGCAACATGCCATGGTGGGACCATGGCATTGAGTACGTGTGAAAAGGCCCTCCAGGTTTGACCATGGGTAACTTTCTTTCTCCCAGGTGCTTGACAAATCTCATGTTTTTGTTTTTGCCGTTTTCCACCAAATGGTCATCCTAAAGGAGCTTTTGGTCAACACTCATGTGAATTCAAGAAGAGTTGTTTAAGGTCGCCGGGAGTTGTCCCAAGCCTCGTTTCGGAGACCCCGAGCTCAAGCAAGGAGCCAACTCTCCGTGTCGTTTTGGTCAAATCTGGCAGCGGCGGATCTCCATCCTGACTTGGCTGGGCGAGGAGCAGTTGGCCATTGAACCCTAAACCCTAAACCCTAAAAACCCTAAACCCTAAGCCGTTCATGGTCAGCAATCTTGATGCCGGAAATATCATGGCAACCCATCCACACGTCACGTGGGAGTTCGCCTCTTGAACAGATGTAACGTGGACAAGTGGAGAAGCAACCAATGGACCGATTCGCTCCAAACGTTTTGAGTTGATGGTCTTAGCGGTTGCTATTAAAGGGGGGGGGTGGTGTCTCGACGTGGAATCAAGGCCATACCTGGCCATCCCCTGAATGGACAGATGACATTGGAGGTCATTGCTGCACGGCTGCCCGAAGCACCGGCAAAACACATGGGCTTGAGATTTGTCAGTGCCTCAAGCTGTTTGGTGCGGATCCGAGTTTCGGGCGGCATGTCAACGTTCATTGCGTCTTTGCGTGGAGCAGAGGGATCCTTGTGACCGTAGGTGTCCTTTTGAGGTGAGTTGGGCAAGAAATAGATGGCACTGGATTAGATGGGTTTGATTCAGGGCCATCGTTTTTTTTTTTTTTTGAAAAGGCCACCTGTGCTTGTGACGCCTTTCTTTGCCTAAGCTTCCAGGGACAGTCTCGCTGATGCTGATTCAGTGGACTGTTTACTGCAATCCCGTCAACTCCGGACTTTTGGTTTGTGGCGCGAGCCCCAAGAGTGATCGGCAGCTTCATAAATAATCACCCCCTGTTCAATGACCTGGGGATGCATAAGGATCCCACTCCACCATGGAAAGCTTTACTCAGTCGTCCAAAGCCGACCTTTTGACCTTTTGGTTTCCCAATTCTGACTTCCCATTTCTGGTCTGTCATGGCCGGTCACCACCTTTAATTTCTGGGTCCCTATGGGGCAATTGAGTTCATACTGTGGATGGACAAAATCCTGCACCACCTAAGAAACCCTGGAATGACGATTCTTTTCTAAATGCCAACAAATGATACGAGTTCCCCTGGTTTCTTAGGTGCTGCGAACTGGATTTCGCAACCATCCGCAGTAAAGGTCTTTCCCTTTGCCTCGTGTCCGCGCGAGTTTCGCCTCGCACGTCAGGCACCCCCGGAGCTTCCTGCGGGTCTGCTGCAGGGCTTGGGCCCCGAAGCGAAGCGAAGCCGGAGGAAAGGTGAGCAAAAAGTGTGATCAGGGAAACCTCGACCTAGAGCTCACTGAGTTCAGGAACTTTAAAAGTTTTTGGGAAGACCGTTTTGCAAGGTAAATAAAAGGTTTGGACTGTTCTTGGGCTATCCACTCAGCAAGTGAGAAAGTGGTGTTCCTAACGCACCCAGTTTGACTTTTCCCAAGGGGCGACGATGTGGGGCAGGGCCCCTTTGTTGGACAAATGGAAATATGGGGGGGGGGCATATAGTTGTCGCAAGCCGGAGGTCTGGTTGCAACATACCGGATTCCCTAGACATGGTGTCCACCATCCGACCGTTTTTCAAGGTCCTTTGGGCAAGCGAGTGTAGCGGCAAGTGTTCCAAGGCTGTCGAGGGTCTTGAAAGGCAATGACAAGGGTCTTGAGATCGAGTCAAATCTAGCCGCAATAGCTGGACCGGAGTCATGGAGCATGGATGACAAAGACTCGTTGACGCATCCAGCCTTAGTCAGTTTTGCTTTAAGAGGAAGGCAGCCTGCTTTCCGGAAGATTCCTCTCCTGGATGCCGGGGTGATCTTACTGTCTCCAATATCCTTTTTCGAGCTTTAAAACTGTTGTCGAACTTGCGAGGGACCTCAGAGATCCCGGGGCTCCCTTGTAGATGAATCCCACGTGGACAGAATTGTATGGCTTGATACCCTCTTTCCAACGAAAAACATGGTTGGTCGGGCTACTGTCCACGTTGATGGCTCCAGCTGATGCCATTTTGGGCAACCCAACTCAACAGTAATTGCAGGAAGAAGAAGAAGAAGAAGAAGAAGAAGAAGAAGAATAAGAAGAAGAAGACTGGGAGAAATAGAAACAGTAAAGCATTGTTGGAAAGAGGAGAATGCATGGGGGTTGATCAAAAGGTCCTTCACATGGGATGCTCATGGGGAGAACCAATCAAAGTTGATACTTCCCGCTAAATCTCAGTTGTTCAAAGCCAACCTTTTGACCTGTTGCTTTTCCCCTTTTGGTCCATATTTAGCCATGGCCCCAAAAGGTTAACCTTTTTACGTCCAGGTCCTGTGGGCAACTGAGAAACGGGACAGTTCCCCATGGTCATTTGGGGGCCTTTCACCGAAAATCGATCAACCCCAACATACAAATTCGCCCAAAGCCGGGCTTTTGACCTTTTGGGTCCCAAAGGGGTGAAAAGGTGATCGCCTTTTTCTGGGTCCGAGCTGGACAAGTGAGTTCAGCATCTTGATTGGACTTGGAGGGTCGGTGGGCATTTTGGGGCCGAACGGACTATTCATCCACCCCCATGCGTTGATGGAATCTGAAAGATCGTAAATTGGAATTGGAGGGTCCGTAAATCAGACAAATTCCCTAAGACACCCGGATGTTTTCAGAACCAATTCCGCGAGGCGCAGGGGCGCGGCCGGGCGCCGCTGCGCTGGCTGCTGCGGCGCTTGCCGCTTGCCTCGAAATCTAGAAAGAATCGGGTGCTGAGGGCTTGGAACCGAGGCTTCGTTCAGAAAGGTAAGTCAGATGGCTTACAGGATGACAATAGTAACCCCATGAAGGCTTTCTGAAAGGCTTACACTTCTAGAAGTGGATCAAAGGCACAACCAGTTCCAGGGAGAGTAGTACTTGAAGGATTTAGCAGTTTGCTCAAGGGGAATGCAATGGCAGAACCTGAAAATGGGAACCCATGGAGGGGAACCCATGGAAGGCTTCAGAATCCACGCTTTGTTCAGCCCTGTGAATTGCTGGGGTGTTCCATTTGGGCACCCCTTTTTTTAAACCTTGTACGACTTTTTTGTAACCTTGGAGCTTGTTTTTGGGGAATCCTTTCCTTTGGGGGGACTCCCAGCTTGAGGGTGAGTCCGCGGTCGCCATTCGACCCACTGGTTGGGAACTTCTTGTTGCGGTCTTGGATTCTACCCTTTGAACGGGCCCTGCGAAAAAAGAAGAAGACCACATCCGTTTTTTTTTTTTGGGGGGGGAGCTCAGGATGTCTTGGCGAACAGTTTGATAGACCCACTCAGAGTATCCGACTCAGGGACCCGTGTCCCAAAGGCCGAACAAAAGTTGCGCCAGACTGCCGGCTAAACTTTCCATATGAGGAGGCCCTCAATACTCTCAGAGTCCCTTGACCATGCTTGACCTTGACCGATGCGCTCAACTGCGACCCGATTTTGAGGGAGTATTTTGAGGGCTCTGAACATTTCTTTTGGGTAGCTTCCCTGTTGAGAGGCCAATTTGGAGGACGCCACTTGATTGGACCATGCAATGAGCATGTGGCCTTTCGTGGGTACGGCAAACTAAGGCCCCTGTCGGCAAAGGTGCTGCAAACCTCACAACGGAGGCACCAGAACTCACCACCTTGGTGCATTCCCCTAAGGCCCCAAAGATTTGGGTGTAGCTCAGAATTAAAGAGCTAGGGTTACGTTCCATTTACCATGCTTTTGAGCCACAGCCACTTACTGACCGGGGGAGGGGACGACTTGCTTGGCAGGACGGCCAGTGCCAGAAAGCGTTGGATAGCGCTGGCGTGCTTTTTTGGCAACGCCTCGCGTGCTTTCCATTTTTGTGAGCTGCTGCAACGTTTCGGGAAACAGGGCAGTTCTTCAAACGAGCCTGTGTGGTGTCGGCGCTGCGATTGCAATGCTTGAACGACAGAAGCATATTCCGTCCGAGGCCTTATGCTTCACGTTCAATGTGATTTCTGCTCTTCGTATCAAGGCTGACTTGTTTGGTACTCCTTGATGCGCCTTGCTTCGAAGCTTGCCGGTTCCGCCAGCAATAGACAAAAACAAATGCTGATTGTTGCTACAGGTGAAGGATGATACACATGGTGTCCAAGAGAAGGTGCAGGTACTCCGATCGAGAATCTTGCGCCTTTCTGCTGGATGTGCTTTGACTGGAGACTGTTGCCCACCGCTGAAGGATGTCGCTGCAATTCGGAAAGCAGCCAGTCCAAATCCAAACCACGCAGTTGGATCATGCACAAAAGACGCACGGAACGGTAGCGGCCGCCTCGCAGAAGGATTGGGTTGTCGAACCTATCCAAAAGGCTTCCCTTCCGAGCTGCAGCGCATGGAGAGTTTCCTGAATCGGATGGGTCGGTTGACTAGTCGGGGGTTGATCAGAAGGTCCTTTACATGGGGGTGACCATTACGGAAACCACAAGGAACAGATGGCTTTCAGCACCAAATGGGGAGAAGTTGCCCATGCTCGTTTTGGGGCCGAACGGACGATTGATCAACCCCCAGACCCCCAGTTGCCGTGGATGGAATCCCAACAAATTGCACTTGGGTTTGGTCAAGCAGGCCGCTTTAAAATTCGCTCGGACGGTCTCAGGTTCACTCTGGTGCTGTCCGCAGGCCCTCCGATACGCGCCCGTGTTGAAGCCGGTGTATTTCAGGGCTCCTTAGATCTCCATTTTGCGAGTTGAAACATGTGGCTTTTTTCACCAAAATAAAGTTGGAAACCACCATGTACAAGTGGCAATGTTCAGGTGTTTTTCATGTAAGGATCCCTGTTTTAGCGACCCATGGGTAATCGCCCAGAAACGGATCCTCCCTTCCTGAGATGGGCCAAAACACGTTTGAACGTTTCGTTTGCCACGAAAATGATACCCTCAACTTGCGATCGGTGCGATAAGCGGGGAATGAGAAATGGAGAGAAACCATCCAACTGGTGGTTTCCTTGATTCGGGAATCCACTTCCCTTCTTGTTGATAAATGGCGGGGGGGGTTGTCCCCTTGTAGAGGGGATCTTCAAGTTTGTGGGTGACACCCTTTGTAGTACGATAGGTTGATTAATCCGCATTGCAAGAGCCCGGCATGTCGTTTTGGCGAATGCACGGTGCACGCGGTTCGCGCAAGGCACGAAGGCGGGAACCCTAGGGAACACGGAAAGCATCCCGGATGAAAGGGTCACAGAATTCATTCCCCGCGTTTGGTTGGGGACTCGTAGACGCAATGCCCTGGGTGCGGCTCTTAAAGTGAACATGATGAAGGGTTCTCAGGATTTTTTTTCGAGGGGTGGTTTTCCCTCAGGCTACTTTTGAGGATCCCGCTTTAGTTGATCCGAGGGGTATGCAATGTTGGGCTGTGTATTTAGTTGTTGTGAACTATGGAGAATACCAAAGATGTTCCTTAAGATCAAACCGCAGTTGCGCAGATTGGAGCTAAGAGCTCTTTTGCTCTTTTCCGGAAACCATGGGGGTTCCACTCATGACGAAAAACCCTAGCAGGTTTTCCTATTTCTACAGAAAGCCCCAGTTAAAGGGCCGATCGGGTACTTAGTAAGTGGTTAGTAAGCCTGGTTATAACCCACTTAGGAGACTTATAACCATGGTAAGTGAGTTGTAACCAGGCTTACTAACCACTTGCCTGACGTAGCCTGCATCGATCGCCCCTTTGAGGATAGGTTGCAACACTGTGGATGATTACGAAATCCATTTCGCACCACCTCAGAAACCCTGGCTGGGAACCACTGTTTGTTGGTATTTAGAGGGGGAATCTCCTCGGGACCCCGGGGTTTCTTCGCTGCGAGCCGGGATTTTTCTTCGTTGCTCCCCTTGTCAGGCTCGGAAACCACGGGGGGAGCCACTGTTTGTTTACAGGGGGAGTCATCGTTGTGGGATCGATCTCGGGGTTGATCCAACCACTTCTGTGATACTTGTGGGAATCTCCCCCTTTTTATGGCAGGCCTGTCTTTGAGAAGCCCTTTTAAAGTTGAAGTGGTCGTTTCCCACAGCTCTGCAGGGGAATCATCCTTTTTTGCGGAGAACCCCAGGTGGTGCCAAAATCTGATTTCGATTTCGCTCCATCCACCGTAGGTTTTTATGTGCGCCCTTGGGCTCGGAGCCAGGCTGCGCCGTGGCCGTTTTCTGCAAGATGCACATTCTGGAGCGAGGGCAAAGGGCCGAAAGCCGTTTGAAGAGGGAAGCAGAGAGAGAGAGAGAGGCTCACGTCCAGAAAGTTCCGGGACTCGGAGTTTGTAGTCACTTGAGTCTGGACCGTTTTGGTGGTGAACAAGAAGTTTGGACCTGTTTTTGAAGCCCACCCACTCAGGAAGGGAGGAGAGAGGGAAGGAGTAGTCCGGATCCCTTTGACATCCAGCTTCTTCAACTTGAGCCTTGTTTTCAACTCCAATGCTTCAATGCTTTCGTCTGCCATGGTCCATGCCAGGAGATTGATCTCAACGCAAAGAAGGAGGAGTATCGAGCCTGGGGCAAAGGGCTTGCTGTGGGCGGGACAGGCTCTAGGCTTTCTGTCACAGGAACCAGATCTTGGTGGCTCCCAGCCATCCCCTTAGCCTTTTAGCCTTTCAGTGTTTAGTGGCAGTTTTCATTTAACCCCCTAAAAGTGATCCACTTTTCGCGGGGGATCTGAGGGCAGACTAGTTGACCAGCGACTCCGGCTCCCTGACAAGTGCTGTGGAGGACATCCCGGAGCTGCGGGACGGCTACAGCGAAGAGCTGAAGGAGGCGAAAGCGGTTTCTTCGCTGCTCTGGGGTCGAACACATGGGGGGGGTTTTCTTGGACGCCCCCCTGCTTACTGCCCGAGTTTTTGGACTTGTAGTCACTCTTTTTTGAATTTGGACCCGTTCTCCCGGAAAATAACCTTACAGCTTTTTGGGGTTGGCCAATTTTACTGGTAAATAACCAGTTTGGACTTTCTGTTGGCCCATGCTCTCAGGAATTGAGCCTTGAGCCAGCCACATTTCTATCTCGGCCATATTTGGCCGAGACCAGGCGGCCGTGTTCGGAGTACACCTGGTAGTTCCCTTTGGAGACCGTTGGCTTTCCATTTGTCTGAAACTAAGGCCCCGGGCTCGGCAAGCGCCAGGCGGCTTGACCCCCGAAGAAACATGCTACGCTTTCGCTTGTTGCAGCTCTTTGAGAATCAAAACGGAGAGTTGGGGCCAGGGTTGGGCAAGATATGGTTCAAACAGGCCATGGGCCACAAGATAAAGACACGCAAGGACAGTGTTCAAGATCATTTCTAGACAGGATAAACTGTGATAGTTAAAAGATGATAGAGTGGTTAAATGCCGCAAAACCACGAGATAAACTGTGATACAGTCATTAAATCATGTCTAGACAGCTGGTTGGCCAATCCTTGTCGCCGCTGCGACTGCCTGAGAAGCAAGCAAGACGGCAAGACGGCAAGACGGAGGGTCGGGGCTTGAAAGGGCAAGCCAAAGTAAACCTGGCCTTTTGCCCGGTTTTTAACTTGGTTTTACAGGGCAACCAACAAAAAATTATGGGGACTCATGTTTGGGTTGGCTTGAAAGGGGAAGCCCACAGGGAAACCAAAGATTTGGGGTGTCCATTTCTGGATCTCGAGAAGCCTTGGCGCTGGATTGCCCTTAGTCTTCCTTTTGATCTGTTCAACACACATGGGTGTGTGTGTGTGTATAGGTGTGTGTGTGTGTCACAGATGGGATCACTTTGGCGGTTTCCCTTATGTGTGTCACAATGGCGGGGGGGACTTTTATGGGCGGTTCTCCTTTGAGGGCCCGGGCAGCGAGCCTTGAAAGTCTTCGACAAAAGCCGCATGGACGGTGGGGTCAAGCAGCACCCCTCAAACAGTACCCTCAACTTGCTGGTGCGAGAGATGCAGGGAACGAGAAATGGAATGAGCCCGAGATAAGCACCATCCAACCGGTGGTTTCCTTTTCAGGGGAGCCATGGGTTCATTCCAGACCTCATGTCCCTGCCTATCGCACCAGCAAGGCAAATTCCACAGGTATTTGGGACGGCCTTTTTGCAGAACCCACCTGGCGGTTTCAACTCTTTTCGGGGACCAATCCTCGGGTTCACTCCCACTGTCCCCCACTGTCCAACAAGTTATAGAGGGAACCCCGGAGTAAACTTCTTGTCGATAAATGGGGGGGTTGTCCTCTTTTAGAGGGGATCTTCAAATTTGTGGGCGACACCCTTTGTCGTAGGATGGGTTGATTCATCCGCATGGCAATTCGCACCAGCATTTCCTGGGCCTTTTTTTGGCATGTAGACATAGAAAACCAGTTGGATCCTTTTTGGCTTGTTTCTCAGATGGCATAGGAGGAGAAGTGCTGCATGGTGGCACTCCGTGCACCAACCGTCACCCTGAAAGGATCAGGCTTGTTTCTGAGATGGCGTCAAACAATTGTCACAACACCCTTTGAGACAAAACCCATTTTTTCGATCAGGCGCTGATCACCGCCTTGGTGGCGGCTTCTGCTGCAAGAAGGTTTCGGTGGAGGGGTGGTGGCCAACTAGTTCATTTTTTGTTTTGTTTTCAAACTTGGGTTCTGGCTAGGTTTATTTTTGGACATGAGTCTTCTTGAAGTTATTTGTCTTATCCATGCTTTCCTCGCCAATTAATTAGTGTTTCTTCTGTTTTAAGACCAGGACCTACATGGCATGCATGGCCCACATTCACAAAAGCCGAAAGCCGCCGGACTCGTTCCTTTTTTTCGGCAGAGTAGGGTCTATGTTTCTGGAATGCCGCCTTTCGGAGGGGCGGGGCTGGCGAAGGCCGTATCCTTTTCAGGCAGGTTGCGTCGCATGAAAACCGACGCTTCAGACCGCCGGAGGTTTTTTTTTTGGCACTCAAAGGGGCGATCGGGTACTCAAGAGGTGAGTAAGCCCGGTTATAAGCCACTTGCCGTGATTCTGAGTCTTCTCCAGCAAACGGATTGGAGGCGCTTTCTGTGGTTTCCCCATGTTGTTTGGCTAGTTGTTCCTCTTTTAATACTCTTTTAGTACTCTTTTGCTATCCTACAATGGTGGATCCACAAAAACCGCATCCAAACCGTTTCCTAGACAAGTCTTCTGGGTGGGATTACTAACCACATACTAAGTATCCTACCCCTCTAAGTATGCTCCTGGTGAAGAAGCTGAACACGAGGACAAGGCAGTGCTTCAGAGGGCTTGTTCTTGGCTACCAACCTCGGTGCAACTCGCAGAAAGTTGTCGTGGACAGTGCGAATCACAAGCATCGCCAAAACAAACATATTGTTTGGGCTGCCAAACAAAACCTGAACTTTGGACCCCCCCGGTTTGCTTTGTGCTCTGCTTTCCTATTCACTATTCAGACATTTCGGATTTTTCCGAAGGGCATGAACGCGTTCCTGGAACCTCACCTACGGTTCCTTGCCTTCCGGCCAGCCCCTAAAGCTCAAGCTCGCAAGGGCGCGACTCCAGTTGAGTCACTGGCAAACCCGGGCTACAGGGTAGCAATCTCCTTGTCATAGGTGCGGCCTTAGTAATTCTTTTCCATGGCTCTGGGTATAGAAAACCATTTTGCTACCGGGTTTTGATTATAGCAAACCATTTTACTACCATTTGTTTTTTCATTGCGACGCAAATTTCTTGGGGTGCTTTTGGCGCCAAGGTCATCGGGCTGCGGATTTTGTGCTACGCGCTGACGACGAGGCAGGGCTGAACACGGCCCTTTCATCACGCGGAAGCAGCCGCAAGCGGTGATTTGTGACGCTGAATCTTAATGGGGAACACCCTCAAGCATATGGGTATGGGTCAAAATTAATCCATCACACAACTGCAGGTTTTAGTCCTTGCTTCCATTTACCTGGGTTTCATTTTGAGCACCTATTTTTGAACCACGGCCATATGGTTAATGGACACAGTCCCCATACAAGTGACGTCCACCAGAAGCTTCTCAATACCAATGTCTGTGTGTTGCGATCCAATTCAAGTTGGCTTAAGAAAGGCTTGGTTTTGGCTGTTGCACTCTGCAACCAAAAAAATAATCCTGGGCTGCTGCTCGTTTTATCTCAATAAGCCGGGGTGTCAAGAGGAACACAGGGCTGGTTCTGAGATCCGTTCGCGGCACAAAATGAAACTGAAACCATCACGTTTTTTGGTATTTACAGGAAAATCAAATTAGGTTCGAAATGGATTTTGCCCATCCGCAGTAGGGGCCCTTTTGAGGAACTCCAACTAGTTTCGTGCCTTCCCATGATTCCACCATTCCAACGGTCCTCTATTCAAAGCGCGGCAGACAAGTCGCCAGACTGTGACTAGGGTTTTTGGGATTGAAGTTCCGGCAAATACTGGCGGTAGATCAATTAACCCCTGCGAATGACTTGATCGGTTACCCAGGTTTCGGAGGACAGAGTTTGAGTTCTCACAGTTGTTTTAGCAGTGGTACATTTCTTCCACCAGACTTCCTTTGCCTTCCCGCTTTTCTGTATGAGCAAGCATGCATCACCCAAGCATGCGGGACCAAGTGCGTTCTGCGCTTTCAAAGTTAGTGGTGGATGCTGTACGGACAACATCATCATCGCAGTTGGATTTGAAAATTGCAACAACTGGATGCGGCGCCGGCGCTGCAAAGTATTTGCCAGCAAGTTGTTTCTCGCACTTGCTAACACATACACAAGCACAAGCACAGACACAAGCACAAGCACAAGCACAAACACACACACACACACACACTACCTGGACAGACCTTGGCCACCACAGTCCATGCTGCACTTCGTTTTGACAAAGGATAGAAAAGTGGGACTGGCACCGCAGGCAGGATCACTCTCTCTCTATCTCTCTCTCTCTCTCTCTCTTTCTTTTTCTCTCTCTCTCTCTCGTTCTCTCTCTCTGTCTCCCTCTCTTGCTTTCTTTTATCAAGCTTTCTTTCTTTTATTTTTTTCCCTTTTCCTTTCTTTCTATCTATCTATCTATCTTTCTTTCTTTCTATCTATCTATCTATCTTTCTTTCTTTCTTTCTTTCTTTCTTTCTATCTATCTATCTATCTATCTATCTATGTTTCTTTATTTCTTTCTTTCTTTCTTTCTTTCTTTCTTTCTTTCTTTCTTTCTTTCTTTCTTTCTATCTTTCTTTCTTTCTTTCTTTCTTTCTTTCTTTCTTTCTTTCTTTCTTTCTTTCTTTCTTTCTTTCATTATTTCTTTCTTTCTTTCTTTCTTTCTATCTATCTATCTATCTATCTATCTATCTATCTATCTATCTATCTATGTTTCTTTCTTTCTTTCTTTCTTTCTTTCTTTCTTTCTTTATTTCTCTCTCTCTCTCTCTCACTGTTTCCCTCTCTCTCTCTCTCCGCGGACAAACCCTTATCTGTTTTCCTTGAAGGCTTCCGGCCTCAGCATGTCTCACATGTGTTCATTCTTCCAAGTTCTCAGACATCTCCAAATGAGCTACAATCAAAACCCGGGTAGATGAAGGTTAGTAAGGGACGCTCCCAGCCAGAAATAGCTGCGGAATTCCGCCTTCTTAATTCTTTGCATGGCTCTGGGTTCACCATTTTTGTACCGGGTTTTGATTGCGACTCAAATGCATCCAATCCACACATGGGCCAATCTTTACCTTCCGCTCGGAGGCCCTATGCCATTCCCTTTATCGAGGGCAGGCCCAAGGCGGCGCTTGGGAGTGCTTTTGGCTCGAGGCTTTCAACCCGTTTGGAAAGGGACGAACACCTAAGGAGCATAGATGAAAAGACCTTTGAAATCCTGGGGAACACCCTAAATCCGTTTGAAGACGAACACCTGAGGAACATAGATGAAAAGACCTCGAGTACTCGACTTTTCAGGGGCCTCATTTTGACGCCGGAAGTTTGAATGGATGGATTTCTGGAAGGATCGACCCAAACCGCTTGGGATCTCCAGAGTCTGTCCATGAGACTTGGGGTCCTCTGGAGGTTTCCAACGAGACACCAAATTGGATGCAGGACGGAGGGTTTGAGAGGACCGAGGGACTGGAATCATCCATTCTCCCTGAGAACAAAAGAAGTCAGAGCAGTGCACTTCGGCGCTTCCGCCTTTGACATGTGGTTTGGGATTAGCCAGGTGCCCAGAACTCTTCGCAGATATGGGTGGGTCCCATGTGAGCCCACACTCTCTGAGGCTCCAACATGACCCACTGCACCAATGTCCCAAAATGATGCTCTTTCAACGAGCAGCTTCTCGGTTTGGCACCGTTGGTGGTTAGATGCAACGAGGCCTCCAAACGTCTCGACCGAGTACTCACGCGCATCAACTAGGTTCCCCAGCGATTGGTGCCCGACCTCTCACCCCTGTTTTGGTTGTCAGAAAACGATTGCAAACCATAGGTGTCCTTTTTAGGTGAGTTTGGCTAGAAACAGATGGCATTGGTTTAGATGGGGTGTTCTTCCATTTCGCAGGGACACCCATCTATTCTTCTACAAGGCCACCTGTGTTGCAAACTACGCCTGTATCAAACCGAGCACGGGCACAGGTAACTCAAATACCAACACCAAGAACGGCGGCCCAGAACACGGCGGCCGGCCGAAGATCGCCCCTTGACAGATGCCTTGCGGTCCATTTCCCGAGCCGAGGAAATGGGTTCGGAGTGGAAATTGCCGCGTTGCCAGCCTGATATTTGCATGAGCAAAGGACTGCGAATATTCACCCTATCTATTGATCAACCCCAGTTTATCAATTGGGGTGTGTGTGGTTTTTGGCCCTGATTCCCCACATGTCACCCAGAGAAAAGCACCCCTTATATTGCTAGACTGAGGTTTATTCCTTTGGGGTCAGCATGAATGGAGCGCACAAGGTGGCCCGTACCACCAAGCGACTTCAGTGCCGGGAGTGAGAGTCTATTGCAACTGGGGTGGATGTTCAATCCGTGAGCAAAAACAAGCGGTGAAACCAATGAAGGATGCACCCACATGACATGAGGCAGCAGAATTGCAAGCTTTGGCGTTCGAAACCGCTTGGGGTCTTAGATGCTGAAATCGCCTTGGCCAGAAGAAGTCGTCTGCTCCAGCGTCGCAGCTGGGGTGCTCGGTGCGTGCCCGGTGAGAATTTCTTGGGCCCTTTGAAGTCGCTCCGAGCAAAAGGACCCTTCTGAAGGGGAGGGGTATTTATTCTACTGGCCGAGACTAAAAACTAAAAAACAGAATATCAGAGAAAAAACAAAGTAAATCCGCACCCCTTCCGAATGCCCAGGGGCCGAGACTGAGGCTTCAAGTACAAGTCACAGGGTTTGAAGGGGATTAATCGCGGAAGAACAATTGGATCATATCACAAGCCTGGAGAGTTGCAGCAGCTCACTCGTTTAGGAATCAGATGAAGTCTTACATTAATGAGACATGTGCATTTTGTTTTTTTTAAAATAAATCATGATAATATGATTATTATTATCATCATTATTATTATTGTTTAATGGTGGGGGGTGGGGAGTGGGGTTGGGCATAGCTTGGTGGTGCTCGCGGGTGATGAGGATGCTTTTCTCTTCGAGGATTTTTGTTGGCTCTTACCTCTTGTTGTTCTTTGGCGTGAACAGGGCTCCTTAAAAGATAAACTTTGCCCATTTGAAACATGGCTTTTTCCACCAAAATAAAGGGGAACTCCCATTTACAAGGCAATGTTCAGGAACGGATTGGGCATGGGTCAAAATTAAACCACCAGGAATCGGACCGCAGATGTTAGTCCATGTTTCCATTTACCCGGGCAACCCATTCTGGGTACCTATTTTTGACTCACAGCCAATTGTGTTTGGGCACAATCAGTCTTTTCCCCTCCCAGGTGGTGAAATAACCCACCACAGCCATGGGGATAAGTCTATGGGGTATAGCCAGGCTTACTAACCACTTACTAAGCACCCCCTGCCGCTTGAAGTAGCATCTTTGGAGGCCGGGGGAAGGGCTTTGGGAACATGAGAATTCGGTCAGTGTAGTGGCATGTTGCTTCTTCCCCTCAAATGGTTGGGTAGGGTCAAAGAACCGCATGCTGCACGAGACTGAGAAACATTTGCGAGTGGAAACCTCATGTTTTGGGTAGGGCAGCTCCATTCTTTGCCTGCACCTGGATTCGTGGAATGAAAGAATTGGGATGGTTTAGCTTCATACTTCTCATTTTTGGACGTCAGAGTTGCCGGGCACAGCCCGAGATTCATTTCTCGATTTTTCCCTCTGTCGACTTCTTCAATGCCACATATCTTCCCTCATGCCGGTGCCCTTGAAACAAACTCAGCAAATGTTTGGATGCAACTCCGCAGAATGGTGGGACGTTGGACATCTCAGTGATATTCTGGAGCAAAGTCTCTCTGCACATGTTGTACTAGCTTGCCTTGCAATGTGCCCTCTTCAGTGCGGGGCATGGTGCGAGAAGCTTTTCTGACGGAGTGTTACTGTGGATGGACGAAATCCTGCACCACCTAAGAAACCCTGGAATGATGATTCCCCTGTAAATACCAACGAACAATGGTTCGCATTGCTTTCAAAGTGGTGCAGGATTTTGTCCATCCACAGTATCTCGCCCCAAAACTGGCATGAGTTTTCCGAAACGATGCCCCTCTATGGATCACCGCGTGTCTGACTTGCTTGCTTGTTTCTTCAAGCTCAGCCCGGCTCAGGAGGGTCGCTTTGTGTAGCAGGAGATATGCGGGTTGATCAAAAAAGGGGACCCCTAAAATGGTGGCTTTCCTGTCGGTTTCCCTTTCAAAACCACAAAACACGGGTACCCTCAAAAAGAGACGAGCCACCCATATGTTTTTAAGTCGTGCCGTTTGCTGCTAGCTTTGGGGACATCTTGAGGAGAATCGTTGGGGCTCACTTGGGCACAGGCGTTTCTGTGGGGAAAGTGTTGCTTTCGCTGGAACGGAGCAGCCGCTAGGCCACGAGGCCAGCCATAATCCTGTGTCAGCTGCGACAAGGGTGGCGGACTTCAAGCACCGGAGCACTTTAGAAAGTGCGAAAGCGCAGCTGCGGCCGAGACTTAGAGCCGGTTCATGCCGGTTCCATCCGGTGCCTTGGAGTCACGCCCATGTCAGGTACCCAGTGACAGGCACGACGTTACAACTTGAGGACGCCTTCGGGACTATGGCACGCCATCATTTCCCCTACCCAGCTCGGAGGCATTGGTGCCGGCGAGCGGGTGTGGGGCCTGTTGCTGGCACTGATTTTTTTCCCGAAATCCAAACGCCATCCACAGCCAGCCTCTTATCGAAGGCAAACCCAACGCCGAACCTTTCAATCCAAATCCACACACTCACACTCACACACTTAGACTCCCGCATCCCTGGCTACGGATTTCCCAATCGCAGCTCCAAAATCCGATTTCTCGTGGCTCTCAGTCCGTTTTAGCTTTAGAAATAGATGGGTTCCACTTCCTTAGATTCTCACTCCCTGAGTTTCTGGACTTTCAACTTTTTGGGTTTGGGACCATTTTAGTGGTAAACAGAAAGTTCAGACTTTTTTTGGCCCATCCGAAGCGAGGCTTATTAGTTTACTCGCTGGTGCTCAGAATGAGGGAATGAACCTTTCTTACAGGAAGCCACCAGTTGGATTGTTGGATGATTGGAGGGTTCATTCCCTTATTGCCTGTCTATCGCGCCAGCAAGTCTATCGTCGAGTTGGCCAAAAGTTGCTGGTGCGATAGGTGAAGGAGGGAATGAATTTCATAACAATCCAACAAGGGTGGTTTCCTGTCAGACCAAAGCCTGGGTTCATTCCAACTCACCTATCGCACCAGCTTCCATTTGCTTAAGAATATGTTATATTCTCCCTTGTTGGTTTTAAAGGGAATCTGTCACTACTGCAAATATGTTTATTTTTCCATAGGGCTAAAGCAAAACTACTCCGATCGCCCTTTTAACCCAGCAGTGCCCTTTTACCCTTTTTGGGGGGAGGGTTCCCCTACTAAAACGGACTACAGAAAAAAGAAACGGTGCCCTTATTCTAAGCTCTCTACTGGAGGACCTAGTCAATATTCCGACCATGGGAAGCAGCTCTGATCATGGCACGTTTTGGGCGCCTTTCCGATCCGGGGCCATACACAGTGAGTTCACCTTGTGTTCTTGCCAAAAGGAACCATCCAATCTTGCTGAAGCAAAGAGATAAGCAAATTCTCGGTTCAGTGTGCCCCACCCTTGCCCCCTCTCTCTCTCTCTCTATCTCTCTTTCTCTAAATGGGTGTGGGTCAAAATTAAACCACCAGGGGACCGCAGGTTTTGGTCCATGTTGCCACTTACTAGGGCAACCCATTTTGGGTACCTATTGTTGACCCACAGCCAAATGAGTCTCCGCACCAAGCAGCACATGCTGGGTGACCATCGCTGCAGGCCCACGCTGCCGCCGCTGAACGCCTCCGCGCCGCTGCTGCGTGCCGCCTCCCAGGCCTCCGTGGCGAGGCCCGGTGGCGTTGGGAAGCGAAAGGCGGCTGGCCGCGGCCGTTTTCTTGGTGGGTTTTTTTAGTGGTTTTTCAGTTTTTCTCTTGTGGCTTTCTTGATGGCTGTGGCTTTTTGGTGGTTTTTTAGTTGGTTTAGTGGCAGTCTTGGTATTTTCCCCCCACAACTTAAAAACTTTTAGTTGATGGCAGCTTAGTCGTTGTCCCTAGCTAGCAAAGCCCACACCTCAA